CTGCRGTGAGATTATATGGCTGAGAGCCCTTCTTAATGATCTTGTTATCTCCTTGTCATCCCTAATTCCTATTTATGCTGATAATGTGAGTGCTATCAAGATTACATCCAACTCAATCTTCCATGAGCGCACCAAACATATAGATGTTGACTACCACTTCATTAGAGACCGGTTTTCTACTGGACACATATCTCTGCCACACATGTCTTCTGCCCTACAGCTTGCTGACATATTCACGAAGGCTATGACCCGTGCTCGCCACCGGTTTCTAGTTGTCAAACTGATGGGGGTGTAGAGATTGATCTATGTCTCTTATATCTTCTTTCCTTTTTTGGCCCTTGAGACCACCCTTTTATGTTGTAACTTATGTACAATATCTTTTGTTTTATTATTTCTTGTAAGATAAGGACATAACCATCCTTTCCTTAACATTGTATTATCTCATATATAAGTTAAATATTTCTGGGCGTGTGGTTCAAGACAGAACACACCCTTTTCACTCTCAACTCTTTCTCCTCTGATTTGATCCAAGTTGACAGAGAGAGTTCCGGCGTTAAGTAAACAAGCTAGGAATGCTTCTCTCTAGCCTAGCTTATATATTGAAACAATAAAATTGCAGCACAAACCATAGAGTGTGCAGTTGATGATTTCCAAGTGTGCATTTATTTAATTCCTTCTCATGTCTTCTCCCCTCAAAAGTTAAAAAAAAAAAATCCTTAGACAAAACTCGGTAATTGATTGTGATCCTTCTATTGTCGTCCTAGTTGTTTGACTAACTTCAGTGGAAAGTTTCCAGCTTAGTGGGTCTCAGAAGGAATTAAATAAATTGAATGGATTGTGATCCTTCTTTTGATGACTAACTTGTAAGTCATCAAAAAATACTAACCATTCAATTTGTAGTTTTTGATGACTTACAAAAGGAAAGATCCTCTACACCACTCCTCCATCCATGGTTGATCGCCAAGCTTGAAGTCAACTTTCATTTTAGTCTTTGTGGTCCTCTCTTCTTAGTTTCTAAAACCTCTTAATCAGAACTTGGGAGGAAACTCCCCACTTCTCTTTTGGACAGACTAATGACATGGTTAAACTTATCTAAACAACCAAATTGACCCTTTAGATGGTTAACCTCACACAATAGATGTAATTCTCCACATCATGCATGCAACATGTTTGTAATTAGTGACAGGCTCATAGAGAAGGAAGACCACAAAGATGAAAAGCTCTGAAAGAAATCGTTCTTAGACCACATATTGTATAGAGGGAGGGAGGCCTAAGCATTGGCAATCTATAYCTATTACTCTATTAGCTAGGGAGCTCAAGAGTCCTCTTAACTCAATGTTCACCTGAACATCCTTCTCCTCTTTTTTTACAAACCTAGTTATTTTCTTAAATTAAAATATAAAAACCACAATAAAACCCTCTCATCTTATCCTAACTCTCTCTAATAAAATCATTCTTGATTCTCCCTTTCTCCAATAGTCTATGTGTGTGACCTCTATCCTCTCCTCATTAACAGGGTGTTCAACAGTCACATATCAGCATAAATGTATTAATCTGACATGCCAGTTGTTTTTAGGAATGGCAACGGGGCAAGGATCATATTCCCCATCCCCACCCCCGATTCTGAAATTAACCCCATCCCCACCGGGATAAAATTTGTCCTTCGTCCCTGATCCCCAACAGGGATGGGTTCCCTGTAGGGACCCAAATCCCCAAATTTTTTTTTAGATAATATATATATAATCGGGATCGGGGTGGGGTGGGGACCTCAATCCCCGTCCTTGACCCCGATCCCGATCGGGGATTCCTATTAATACCCGTCCCTGCCCCGCCAAAGCAATCCCCATCCCTGACCCCATCGGGTTGGGGGAGTTGGGTTCTCATCAGGGATGAGGAAAATTGCCATCTACAAAATTCACTGTCCAACACCTCGTAAGGTTCATGTTGTTTCTACTTGAAATTGGGTCGCAAATACAAATTGTTGTTTCTACCCTTGAAAACTTCCAAGGTTCAAAATATCGATACGCCCGATACACCGGTAGGGGCGTATCAGGCGAATCGATACTCATTTTTATTGTTTTTTTTTTAATTTTTCACAATCAGTTTAGGGGGGTCGGTTTAGAGCTCCTCTACCCCCTGAACCGGTCAGACCTCCGATACACCCACTGTAGGGACGTATCGGAGGGGTCCCGGAATGATACGTATCAACCGATACGTGTTGATACTTTGAACCCTGGTTTCAACTATAAACATCAATGAGTAGTCCAGCACATGCATTTTTCTAGTTGAAGTATATGTGAGGTGACAATACATATTTCTCATCAATTTGTATTGGCCAATCGCAACACAACTTGGGACTGTGTTATGGTCCCAATGATTAAATGGCTTAGCTCGATGTGCTCCAATAGTAGGCTTCGACCCTTGGACTTATGGCCAAGGTTTTTAAAATTGGACCGGACAAGGAACCATTGTGGGTTTGGTTCTCGGGTTGAATGGTCTGATTATTCGGTTTAAACACATGGCCCACTCTGACAAAAAAAATTTAAAAAGTAAAAAAACAGCTAAAAACCGTTGTTTGAGTTGACAGTTCGACCACTCAGGTCAGCAATTCGCTAACCAAATCAATGGTTTTTGGCCAAAAAGCGATTTTGGGGTGACCGGTTTCTAGTTTTTCCAGTCCGATTTTGAAAATAATGCTTGTGGCTATCATGGAAAGGGTTATCTACCATTGGAGTGAGCTAGAGTTGCTAGGGAAAGGGCTATTTGTTGCCAAAGTGAGAGTTGCCCAGATCAGTGATTTCAAACCATCGATTGAACTGGACTGTTAGACTACTCGACGTAGGAGCCATCCAAGCAATCAGTTCTTTTTTTACCCTAAACCCAGTCCTTGGCCAAAAGCTGTTGAATTGGTTAGTGACCTGCTGATCCAGGTGGTCAAACTATTGACCCATTCAACAGTTTTGGCTTTATTTTATTTTTATTTTTTAAGTTGGAACGGGCCATCCATTCAAACCAGATGGTCAAACTGAAAACCGATGGCCAKAATGGTTCTAGTTTTGCGTCAGTTTTTAAAACCTTGGCCCATATTGATAGCTACTAGGATGTTAGTTGTGAAAGCATGGTGGTATGTTATGATCTTAAAAGGTTAAATAGATTAACTTGACACATCCCACTAGTCTTCAAGTTTTTGAAGTATCGGTCAAATACATAACAATTGAGATCAAAAGAGGGAAAATGAAACTTGCCACTAGAGTGAGAATTGTAATGAAAAGGGCTACAAATCACGAGTAAATTCTTGAATAAAAAGGCTACTTATCACTAGCATGAGAGTTATCATTGAAAGGACTACTTGCTGCTAATGTGAGAGTTGTCATAGAAAAAGTTGCCAATAATAGGAGTAAGAGCTATGGAAGAAAAGACTACTCGTCATTAGAGTGAACTCTCATGGAAAGGGCTACCTACTACTAGTGTGAGAGATGTCATGGAAAGGGTTATCTATAACTGGAATAAGAACTATCAAAAAAAGGACTATTTGCCACTAGGAGAATGCCCAGAGTGAGAAGCATCAAAACATTGACTACAAAAGCGTGATGGTAATTCATAATCCTAAGGCCCCATTCGCTTTTCGGTAAGTTACTTACCCAGGTAAATGCAATTACCTRAGTAAGTTTTTCCTAGGAAACACTTACCTGGGTAAGTGCATTTATCCATTTTCTTTTATTTCTTGTATAAATAAGTGCATTTACCCATCTTCTTTTACTTCTCGTGTAAATAAGGCCCCATTCACTTTTCGGTAAGTTACTTACCCAGGTAAATTCAATTACTAGAGTAAGTTTTTCCTAGGAAACACTTACCTAGGTAAGTGCATTTACCCATCTTTTTTTTTTATTTTTCGTGTAAATAAGRCAATGATCATTTTAGTCATAAAAATTCATTATTAAAAAGGACATTTTTGTCCCATTCAAGTGTTGGCAACTTTCCCCCTAGGTAAGTTATTTACCCACCTAGGAGATGGGTATCAAGTAAGTGATACATAGTAAAATAAACTTTCCCTGGTCCCCATATAAATTTGAAAAAAGAACATGGGATTCTTGGTCAATGAGAACTAAAATCTCATTGACCAACATTCCCCCCTCAAAATCTGAAAAAAGAACGCCCCCTAAAGGTTAAATGGCTTAACTTGAAATATTTCAAYAGCCTCAAGGCTTTTGGTGTATTAGTCCAAGTACATAATGAATGGGGACTTATGTGGGTTTAGTTAGTTGGGCTTACGTGGATTATTCATGTTTGAAAGTCTTTTCATCCATGTTTTGAATTTTTATCTTTCATCTTGGTTTCATGATAACATTGGATACCACTACAATTTTTGAAACAATGTTTGTAAGATATGGACTAGTAATAAATTGAAATACTCATTGGACCACAGTTTTTGAAACAATGTTAACTAGGACYCAGAAAAGGTCGTTGGGTCACTAATATAACTGTCCAATTTGCTCCAAGTTTTTGAACACTATAAAATCAGAGCAAGGCTATCCGGGAAATGTTTTYGTTTTTTTTTTCATTTTCTATTTATTTTAATATAAATATTGGTTATATCATCATTTGTTTCACGTCTTTTATCTTGTAATTAATTTAACACTGTAAAACAATCGTTGAAAGAGAACTCTTATATAATATTATCAGGTCTTAAAATACTAAAAGGATAAATTTGTTTTGAAGGAAAATGAATTACTATAGCCAAATCTTTCATCTTTATCATAAAATAGTGATAGGCCTTATAAGTTCTCTCTCTCTCTCTCTCTCTCTCTCTCTCTCTCTCCATCCGTCCGTCCATCTATCTATCTATATCCCTCTGTGGTTGGTTGTAATTCACTAATTTGAGTATTCATCTATATATTATATAAATGGGTCTAAGAACTGTGGCCCATCCCATAAGTGGGCCTTGTATGCCAATTACGAAATGATAACTAATTGATGTGCTGATTGGAGGCCCATTACCATGAAAAAGAATAATGCATGGGTTTATTTTTCTCATTTGGATTTGACTATACATAAATAAATTACATTTATTAAGGGTAGGCCCATAAGGAAGATGCATTGCAAGTTTGCAACTACTAGATCATGAACGTAACCAGCTCAGGATCAATATAGTCTGGTAGTTGATATGGCTCCTCCCTTGAATCTGGTAAAGCGTTAGCGACTTGTTTGGCAACAGCCATGTACTCTATGTAACGTTCTTTATCTGTGCAAGTGCAACCACCTTTTGTATTCGTATTCGATTCTGTTAATAATCCATTAATGGCGTCCTGGTAAGTCCTGTTTGTTTTATCAAAAGACCAATCTCCTGTTCGCCAGTCAAACTTATACAGTGGAAGGAATCTGTGACCGTACTTGCCAACGAACTCGACTGCATCAGCCACAAATTCCATCTCGTCCATTGATGTGTAGTAGCTGAAGCTCACCCTCGTCCATCCTGGTTTCACTCCCTCGTATCCCTGTACAGTATTAAAATAAGATATTTTAGCACAGAATAAAATCTCTTTCGTCAGTCGTCTACTCGTCTCTATTCATCAAACCACCGACGGGCCGGCCATTTAGTGGCCCATATTTGGACTATGAGCTCAAGCCCCTTAACACTGAAAAGTGAAAACATTACCTTCTCAACAGTGGACCGGATTAGTTCGGCTCGAGCTCTACTGATATGAAGAAGCACGTGACCGTAGGGCCCAGCACATGCACAGCCCCCACGTGCTTGGATCCCAAACACATCGTTGAGCAGCTTGGTGACGAAGCGGCAATGCAGGTGTTTCCCACGTGCGACATTTGGATAGATCAAGAAAGAAACAATAGGCTGGCGTTGGATCCTTATATTACCCAGGATGTGTACATTTGGGCTCTCTAAGAGCCTATTCAAGGCCTTTTCTATTAGTTTGGACTCTTGACAGCATATAAGTCCACCATAGCCCATGAAGTAATCCTTCACACGGAACGCTAGGGCTGCACGTATCTTCTGCACGATCCCAGGTGTGCCTGCATCTTCCCTCTCTTCCAAGTCCTCAGAGTAGAGTGTGTGCTGTCATGTCAGATAGAGAGAGGCACATTTATCAGTACAACCGTTTTATGGACCACACCATTCAAATGGGCCTTAGCCCAAGAAGAACCCAACTTCCAAGTTCCAACTCCCAACTCACCTTGTCATCATAACCATTGACGTAGCGTACAGTTCCACCGCCGCTTGTGGAAGGAGGGCAGCCCTTCAGACGATACAGCTCCTTGCTCATTACTAGGATACCTGGGCTTCCTGGGCCTCCGATGAACTTGTGGGGGCTCAAGAAAACTGCATCGTACCCATCTACTTCACCGGTTCTCATTTGAATATCAACATAAGGCCCACTGCAATTTTAGGCCCAATTAGAAACAATTGCGAACTGTGTATTACAAATACTACTGTATTTGAATATTTGTTTTGGGTGGATCATGGATGTCGATCGACGGTGACATACCTGCAAGCGAAGTCGAAGCAGGCGTATGCGCCATGCTCGTGCAAGACGCGAGCGAGTTCCCGAGTATCGGCGTATATTCCGGTGACGTTGCTACAGGCAGAGAAGGACCCGAGCTTAGGCCTTCCGGCGTACTGGGGGGACTTGAGTGCATCAACCAAGGAAGCAATGTCTACAAGGCCGGACTCGTCCACCCCGATCTCGACCACGTCGGCCAGGCTCTGGCGCCAGGAGAGCAGGTTGGAGTGGTGTTCGTAGGGTCCCGTGAAGACTACCCATCTCTCGGAGTCTGCTAGACAGCTTACGAACCTCGAGCGCAAGACCGACGGCACGGCGATGCCCATCACCTCCTGCAACCGCTTCACGGCGGCGGTGGTGCCGGAGCCACAGAAGAGCAGAGCATCCTGAGGCCCGGCACCCATGCAATGCTTGATGTATTGGGCAGCCTGGTGAACTAGCTCGCTTGTGTGGAGACCGACATAGCTATCTACGGTGTGAGTGTTGCCTGAGAGAGACCGAACACCCGTCGACAACAACAAATCGATCAGTAAGACGTATAGTATTAGCAGCATGACCGGACCACCGGTCAGACCAAACCGATTGTGTTTATTCGGGTACCATTACATCCAGGCACAGCCTGTAATGTGGACCCGGACCCACCTAATCGGATGCGATGGATCTATATACACTGTGACTCTATAGTCTATAGGCTATAGCAAGTGTTATGAATCGGGTATTCGGAGTACCCGATTTGGTGATCAAGGGGCATGTTATATCCTAAACCTGTATCAGAAGTAAAGGCAAAAGGAGGACTCACCGTAAAATGGAAGAACCTCCCTCTCGAGAAACTCCTCGACAAACCGGAGTAACCTTCCTGAAGCTGTGTGATCGGAATACGTGATTCGGCGGCGACCAAAAGGGGACTCGAATTCAGCCTTGTCTCCGATTATCTGCGACTTCAACCAAGCACACATGTTTGAGATATTGCCTTTGATAATAGGACCGATTCTCAGAGATCCGAATATGTTGAAGTCATCCATGTTGGACTCAAGCGTCCTGTCATCCTTCTTTTCTCTGCCGGGCAGGACGACTCTTCCGGTAGGGTCCGAAACGTCGGCGGGCCGGATGGAAACATGTCCCTGTTGCTGTGTGTGGTGGTGGATGATGCCTGGCATGGTGGAAGGAGGAAGTAGAAGAGGCATCGCACAAAAAAGAAGAAAGAATGGTGAGAAAGAAATGGGATAAAATTGATGGAAATGGAGATGGAGAGAGATTTATATAAAATATGGATGGGAGGAGAGAAAAACAGGGTTACCTCTGAATCTGAAATACATGGGCGTTGTTGTCAGCTCTTGTTGGTTTGTGAAGGAAAGAGAAGCAGGAGCCAGGAAACGAAGCGCGTCTCTCTCTTAATGGAGACCAGGCCCCAGGGGACGTATCACGTAGGCCGGTGGCCTCACCGCCTCAGTTTTGGGTTTAAATCGGTGAACTCAGTGAAACAAATGGCAAATTATATGGGCGAATAGGAAGTAAAAACTAACTGTTCCAGCGCCTATTTATTATTTTATTCTTTATTAAGGATATGGGTTTGAGGGGTACATTGCACCTATGGTAAAATGACAACAATATCCTTGTGGTATAAAAGTATATTTTTGTTATACAAGGGTATTTTTGTATTCCAAATTAGCTTATGACCACTTTCCTGGAGTAATTCACGAAAGAAAACAGAGTGTGCCCAAAAACGGGGAGTGCAGCAACCAGCAATTATTTATTTATTCTGTGTATTTGAGACTGAGGGGTGACATAGTTTGTTCAATCATCTACTGCCAACTCAGCAAAAGTGTTCTAAAGTACGCGGAAAATAATCCAATCCCCCTCTCCCCTTGTGTTTTAGGGAAACTACTTTGACTGGCACTGGCACACCGTTTTAGCTGCTTAATTTTAAGTCACAAAACGTGGTGGTTCATTCCAGTGGAGCTTTTACGAGTTACGACCAGAAAGCTACCCAAACAGCATGTGGGAGTTACGAATTCACATAATCACATCTGCGCCCCACAGGATACCCACTGTACAGCATTTCTCAATAACAAGTACGGGAAATGTTTGAGATATGCTGTGGGGCGTTTGTAAGGCACACACTGTAGAGATCAAATCAGCCCCCACAAGACTGCGCCCCACAATGTCTCACAATACATTCTCGCCATGTATTGGAAACATTTCCTTATGATAGTATCAGAAATGATGGTATTATCTCTGGAGATGTTTCTAATACACGCAGAGATATATTGTGAGAAATTATGGGGTGTAGTCTTGTGGGGGGCTGATTTGAATTGCACATCATCCCAATAGCCTCTTGCAACTATGCATCSGGATTACCTCCCCATGAAATAAAGTATATATAAATAAAGAGATTCTCAATGTTAAAGGCTGTTTTTAAATGGGCGTTGCCTTGATGGAAGAAGTCAAACTCTTAGAGGGTGTTTGGTACCATTTACATTTTATTCAGTAAAGGTTTATTGATGATGCCACATAGGCGTTATCTCAGCAGTTTCTCTCTCTTGTCTTTTATATATATTAAAAATGTAAAAAGTGAACTTTGGTTTATATACATGTCAACTGTTTGTAGAAATTATTTTTTGAAACTTCCATAAACGGTCAGACGTTTATTCACTGTTATGCTGAAGTGATGTCTAATTGTCATAAACGATTACAATTGTTGTATTTTTCGATTCTACCAGCAAATAAAGAACAAACATTTATTCAATAAATATAAACAGAACCAAATACACACTTAATCGAACTGCTGATGCGTTCTGCCATTAGGAGGGAAGGGTTGATGATGTGGCTGGGTTTGCCATACTGGTTACGGAGCACCAACAGCGTGGTCATGGGGGCCATACTGGCAACTTGTCCAAGGAATACCTTGGAGTTTTCATAATACCTAAAATATGGTTTTGGGATCGGAACTTGCCGGATGTCTAAAATCACAGATTTCCATAGGATAAATGGATAATGATTGACTGAGAAACCTCAGCCCCTAACTTCGTAGGGTATGGTAGGACCTGGTGCATAATGGGTTGCGTAGTCACAATTCATTTCCATAGAAATTTCTCATATTAGCATTTTGCTTTTAACATGTGCAAGTAAGTATTTTTTTTTATAACAGTGCAAGTAAAGTATATGATCTATGGTATTGGGATTTAATTTTTATATAGCTTGTACAAAATCAAGGCAAATATTTACTTTATATAATATTGATTTTTTTTTTATATTCTCTTTATTTTTATATATTAGATTTTTATTGTATATATATTATAGTATGCGGTCGCTTTCATGCAATGTGTAAGAAATCTCGGCCTCTAACTTTGTGGATTCAGTGGGACCAATGTCATAAAGGAGAAGGCATGCCAATAGGTAGAGGTGTAAAGTGGGTCGTGCCGAGCTGGCACAGCACAGCCCGCGGGCCGCCACAGGCCATGCCATCATCCCCGGTGGAACTTTTGGGGGTCGGCTCGGCACCGCCCATGGCCTATGCCCGGGCGGGCCTGTGCCGTGCTGTGCCGGCATGCAGGCCGTGCCGGGTTGGGCCATAGGGCGGGCCTTGGGCTTGGGTAGAACCGGGCTGCACTATTTTTTTTTTGTTTTTTTGAAAATTTTGATTTCTTTTCTAAGTAAAATTGTAAAACTAAAATATTTAATTTTCCTATGAACTTTGGGAATTGGGAATTATTTAAAAAATTAAGAAATGAGAAATCTAAGTTTTTTAACACATAAATGAAAAAAATACTTAAACAAATTGAAATAAGAATGATGGAATAACAAATTGGAAGAAAAATAGGAATTTTATTTCATTTAAATTTGAATGGTACAAATTAGTGAATTACAAATACAATGATTAGATCATTGCATACTTAGATGAATGAAATATAAAAATGGAACAAATTAATAAAATATAAAAAATACAATATGGTTACAAATTGAAAATACAAAATTACATTGTTAAAATTAAAAAAAATATATATCAAATAAATTAAATAAAACTAAAAAAATTACAATAATTTGAAATAATGAAAAATTCTATACAAGTAATCAAATTGATGAATCATCATTCATGACTTTCATCATCTGCTTCGGATGAAATGTTCGGTGTTGTATCATGCCCTCCCTTGTCTCTCATTGTTCATGCAGCTTCTTTTGTCATCCAGCACCCTGGTACATGCACTAAAACAAGACTCTGATGGAACTGTAGACACCGAAGGGGTTATTAGATCACGTGCCATGGCGGCAAAAATCGGATAATTTTTCGAGTGTTCACTCCATCAGGCTAAAATATCAAAATTATTTGATACTTCACCTAAATTAGAAAAATTTGCTTGTAAATAAAAATTAAGTTCAGTAAATGAACTTGTTGTAGAACTAGCAGATTTCTGCCTTCTACTTATTAAATAAAAAAGTTTTTCTCTTCCACTACTGGGCTCAAGGCCAGAAGTAGAAGAAGAAGATGATGAGCAAGTTGTAGGAATCCTACAACTTCAGATTCATATAAATTGTACATTTCAAATAATAAATTATTAATTTCTTCTTTTTTATTTCCTATATCAATATTCATATTTTCACAATATGTTTCAAGTAAAATATCTAAACCATCTTTCCTAATCTTAGGGTCTAATATTGTAGCTAAACAATAAAGGGGAGAAATGTTCTCCTAATATTTTTTAAATTTATTTTCCATAATTTCAACATTACATTGAAATTGTGGATTATTTCTATATTTAGCAAAACAATCGTTAATTACCATTAAATGATATGGTAAATTACAACTAATTGGATAATAAATTCCAGATAATTCATTTGTTGCATCATAAAAATGTTTTAAAAAATCTCTTATACAAACTGACGTTTCCTAGTCTTCCTCAAATATCATATCATTAGGCATTTTTGAATTATAAAAATCAGAAAGAATTTGTTTATGAGATATACAACTTTCTAACATAGCATAGGTAGAATTCCACCTATGCTTTACATCTAATATAAAATGTTTATATTTTAAACCATAATTTTGGTATAAATATTTAAATTCTTATTTTCTTGCCCCTAAACTTTATATATATATAATACAATTTCTAATTTTTGAAATATGATTTGAAATAATATTCAAGGCATCTTGAATACATAAATTTAAGATGTCACATGCACATCTAATATGAAATAATTTACCATTTAAGCATGGTCTTAATTGAGATTTTAAAATATTTATTGCAGAGTCATTTCTGTTGGCATTATCAAAACTAATAGAAAATAATTTATTTTCTATTCCATAAGCATGCAAAGTATTTAAAATACTTGCAACAATAGCTGGGCCACTATGTGGCCATTCAAGCCTAGTAAAACTTAAAATTCTTTTATTCAAAAACCAATTTTCATCAATGAAATGGTCGACAATACAAATATAACTAATATTAAATTTGGATGTCCAAACATCCGAAGTAATTGCAATTTTAGAATTAAGATTTGCTAACAAAGAAATTAAATTTTGTTTATATGAATAAAAAAATTTTTAAGCATTAGTTCTTATAGTATTCCTAGAAACTTTTTTAAATTGTGGATTTACATAACTATGCAACCATTTTTCTAGCTTTGAATCTCCAGCTAATATAAATGGTTGTTCTGCATGTACAATATATTTAGCAAGTTCTTGTTTCATTTTTTTTTTGTGAATATTTAAAAGTACCAAAACTAGTCCCCTTCTCAATCTGTGTTTGGATTGTTTCTCTCCCTTCATCTACTTCTTACTCATGTATGAGCAGATGTCTACTCAAATGACCAGTACCACCCTTGCTACAATAATTAAAGTCTTTCCTACATTTTTGGCAAATGACCCTTTTTCCCTTCCCATTAATATCCTCTACTTTGAAAACTTTCCAAACCAAGCTACTCAGCTTAGAAGCCCTCATTTTTCCCCTAGTATCACTACTACCAGGGGTGAAAGTTCCACTTCCATCGACATCAATCGCATCAGTGCTAACACTATTGTAATGCGATTAAATGTAACCCATGGTGAACATGTTGGGGAATCGGTTTTCAGAAGAGCCAGCCATTTTTTTTTAATTCTAAAAAGATAAAAATTAATCTAATTTGACTTACCCGGATTGTCGTTCAAAATCCCAACTTGGTTTCAATGGTTGAAGCCTTTCAATGTCCAAGCCTCCCGAATTGAGATACTTGAGCTGGTTGAGCAAGCCTTCTTCTTGTTGAAAGTCGAAACTTCGGTAAAGTTGAGACTTGAGAATTGGAGAATGCAGAATCAAACAATCAACTAATCAGAATTTCTCAGATTGCAAATAATTGAGAATGTATGAGTATGAGAGAGAGAGAGAAAGAGAGAGAAGAGATTAAGAGAATTGTTGAATTGGTGTGATGAGAATGGTGGAGGATAAGGCTATTTATAGGAATTGAACATATTCAATTGCCCAAAATACCCAAAAAACTATCTATTATTTAGTTGTTGGGAGGGGTATTTTGGTCATTGTAAAGTTACTTTTAACTTTACCCAAAATGCCCCCCTAAACTAGCTGTTATATAACTGTTGGGGGGCATTTATGTCATTTTTCAACCCTCATAAGCAAAACACACAAATACCCCCTAATATGGTTGTTTATAGCTGTTGGGGGGTATTTCTATAAAAAAACCCCAAAAAATTGAAACTAGCCGTTGCGGCCCGTGCTTCATTCCGGCACGTTGGCTGCGAGCAGCACGGCATGCCCACAAGCCTCGAACCCCCGGCCTAGCATGGCATGGACCTCCGTGTCGGGCCTGGCATGGTCCGGCCCGATTTACACCTCTACCAATAGGGGAGGGGGTGTTGTGTGATCATAATTCACTCATATGTCAAAGTATACAATGATTTCCGCATATTAGCTTTTAACATACACAATTATAATCAGGAAAACAATTAATTAAATAAACAAAGATAAATAAAAAGAAAAAGAAAATATATTTTTTGGGAAGAAGAAAATAAAAAAAAAGCAATAGAAAATGATATTGATTGTTCAAAAGCCAATTTAGAAGTAATTGGGTAGAGGGACCCTGGACCCTATGGGCACAAGAAGGAAAATATTTGTAAAGATTTTTCCCCACATTCTTCGGTTCTAGTAGACCTATCAATGATAATTGGATCAGATTTGGATGTTACAATCTACATCCGATTAATAATTGCAATGGGTTCGGATTTGACTCATCTGATCCGATTAAAATCCGAATCCAATTATATTATAATATTTATTAATTCAATATATAAGTTTTATATAATTATATTTATAATTATAAAAAAATATATAATGTATATACATTATATTTTATATGAATTTATATATATAATAAATTCAATATGTTATATTTATATTAATTTATAATATATAAAAGTTGAAAAGTAATTAAATATTTTTTATATTTAAAAAAAAATTAAAGCAGAATCCAATTGAATTTGAATCTGATTCAAGTCCATTAAGATTCAAATTCGAATATAAAATTCAATTGAATTTCGGATTAGATTAAGATGCAAATTTTTAATAATCAAATTGGATCCAAATTAAATACGACTACAGCCCTAATATTTGTAAGTGAAACAGACATGTAAACATGTCCGTGTCCGGTGAGTGCCCACGGTAGTTGGTTGAAACAGACATGGGAACATTAGAATGGAATTTTAACAATTCATAGGGAGGAAGAGGAATGGGAGGGGGACAAAAATCAAATTTTTGTTGGAGTTCAAGTTCCAATAAGTTGGGTTTTTTTAAAAAAAAGGCCATTTACTAAAACACCCATATAGTTTTATAGATTTACTTAAACCTAGCCTATAGTTTATGTTTTATTAAAACACCCCTTATAGCTTATACTTTACAACCTAGTTATTTAATCAACCTTTCATTAAGAACTATTTGTTTTGTCATATGAAAAAAGTAACATGATCACGTAAACTAAGTGGAAAATGTTTAATGGCATGGGTCCATGGTTTTTTATTCCAAAAGCACCCCTAAACTGAGGGCAAAGGCTGTATTTGGTTGCAATGCAAATAAGTTTGCAGTGTTGTAAAACTATGGCAGTGCAAATGATTTGAGTGTAAATTCTGATCTATTTGTGTTTTAAATTTTAGTTTATTTTTTTTATTACAGTACAGTTGAATTTAATTAAGACATGAAGTAAAATAAAGTAAAACCTAAAAAAATCAAACAAGAATTTGCATTTTTTTTCATTTGCACTCCCATGCATTTGTATTAGTGCAAATAAAATTGCACTGCAATCAAACACATCCAAAATGTTCAACTTCAAGAGTATGGATCCATGGTTGTTTATTCCAATAGTACCCCTAACACTTTTTTTTGTAGGAAATAAAATTGACCATAGAGAAAAATAAAGTGGTTTTCTGTGTTTTATTAGGGGCAAAATTATCATTTTTGTTTTTAGTGTCTTTTGTTTAAATTTATTTGAATGGATGCTAGTATTAAAACTATGATTTTTCACTTTCATTCAATGGAAGGTCGATTAAGTAAATTGATTGCAAATTATAGGGAATGTTTTAATAAAACATAAACTTATAAGGTAGGTTTTTTAATAAATTTATAAAACTAGAGGGGTGTTTTAGTAAATGACCTAAGAAAAAAAATAAGACTGACATGGGAATTTCATATTCGTGGTTGCAGATGATGCGATTTCCATTCAAGGGGTTGTCTTGGATTGAGGGCATAGGATGTAGAGTTGCATATTTGTGTTTCAGCTGGTTAGTTCGGTATGGATCCATGTATTATATATAGGGGTGCTCATTGTTCAGTGAATCGAACCGTGGGGCTTTTTTTTGAACCAAACCGGTACTACCAGTTTTTGGAAAACCGGTAACTGAAACCAACCGAAGCCAGTCGGTTAACCGATTGACCAGTTTGATTAACCGTCGGTTCGGTTCGTCAGTTTTTCAATTTTTTTAATTTTTACAAGATATATTATAAAAATATATTAAAATATATAATAAAAAATATAAATATATATAAAACATTACATTTTAAATAATAAATAATATATCATATATTTTAAACATATATATATATATATATATTTATATATATAATGCATATTTATTAATTTATAATATATAAAAAATATATTATATATAATATATAGAAATATATGTATACCGATCGGTTTGATTAACCGCCGATTTTCTATATTGGTTAACCAAAACCAAACCGGTACCTTCAATTTTTTAAAAACACCAAACCAAAACCGAACCGATCGATTCAGTTAACCGATTTTTCGATTTTTTTTCTCACCCCTAACTGTATATCTAGTCCTAGACCCTATTATACGCATCAAATCGGGTTCAACCCAGTTTGGCGTAGGTTGACGGAGTAGTGACCAACAATTTAATACATCCCATGCAGCCAAGGTTTGACGGTCCTGTATGTATGGACACTCCAGAATCTCAGATGGTATAAACGGTTACAAGTCATGCTCAACTATTGCAAACCATATTTGTGCCTCATTAAGCTATATTATTAGGGGCGTCAATTGGATCGGATTTGGTCCAATCCAATTCAATCCGGTCCAAATGAATCTATTACAGATGGACCAGATACAAACCAATTTAATGAATACTTGAATCATTTTGGAATGATCCAATTCAATATCTGGATCATCCAATCTGTTCAAATTGAATTTAATTTAGATTGATTTCAACCCAAACCTGGTCCATTAACACTTATTCTTATCTTGTATCAATGAACCGGATACAAATCCAATAAATACTTCAGATCATCAAGTCTGGACTGGCCCAATTCATGCCTCTTATTGTCCCATCCAGTTTGTCCAAATTGATTTTGATTTGGACGGGATCCTGCCCAAAACCAGTCCATTGACACCCCTTTATTCTTGCCGCAATTTGTTTAATGGCATGTGCTTTGATAAATTTCCAAGCCATCTTTATCAACTTTTCTTATTAATACCATATCAATTAGAATTTAGCACATCAAAAGACACAAATAAATTATTAAAATTAATAACTTTTCCTTATTTGAATATTTTTACCAGCTCGAGTTAACCTCCCAACCCGCCTTTTGGTAAAATCCGTTGATTAGGTTAGGGATCCAATGATCAAGGCAGTGGAATTGTTGACCCAATCAACTGAAACAACAGATCACAAGTTGACCACTTTCAAATTAATTCAATAATTGTATTTATTTATAGGATTTTTAAATTATATTTTTTTTTATTTTTTCTTGAATAATAAATTTTCAAAAAAAACAAAAACAAAAAACTTGCGTCTATTACCCCCCTTGAATGAGAGAGGGAGATGAGAGAGAAGTTAAAGAAATGAGGTAGAGGGAGGAGAAAGGCTGAAGAATAAGAGACTTACTGGTTTCCTCTCAAACCCACCATCGACCTAAATGGTCAAATCATTCAAACCATCACTCAACCCTTTTTCCAAGCCTGATTTTCTGAAAATCCAAAAATTGACCAAAAACCATTAAAGTGGTAAAAGCCATAGCTTTACACTCAGATGTCTGCTATTTTTGCAAAAAAAATAAAAAAAACTCTTTTTTGGCCTCAAATCCTAATTGTCATGGTCCGATGGTTGTTGATCACTGGCCCATGACCGAGAGGCAAAAAAGTTCAGCCTCAGGGTAGTCACCAAAAACGATAGTATCTTATAAATTCCTGTATCTCAAAAACTAAATAGATAGATAGAATTCAAATATATATAGTGGTCAAGTGCAAGTCAATCGCACAGCGTTCACGGGACCCCCACAAACTCGTGCAATGACAAAAACTCCAAGGAGGTTTCGTTAATCACAATCGAAGAGAAAACAAGGGGGGGGGGGGGCAAAACTGTGAAGACTGAAAATGAAATAAAGTCAAACAAAACCAAACATCCGAAAAATCAGTTCCAGTTAACAGCACCTTGAAAAAGCGCCSCGTTTTATCATCAGTGACCAATCACCAATGTTACGGGTGAGTTGCAAAATTCCCAAGTAGATCCTCCAAAATCATCAGCTATGGGATTTCTATCACCTCGTATTCATGGGAAATTTTAAGTGGAGTCACTTTCGAAACTGGTCTCTCTTCAGACCACAGCTCCAAATTAACCGTTCCTGTGCCCCAGTGGATCAGACATTTGAATACCTCGTTAACATTAAACCGGTTCACCAGACCCACACGCAAACATCTATCCACCAGCATCCATTCCCCTGTCAAATGGAAAATCACAAACATTAGTACTAACACGGGAAAAGTTAAAAGTTGGGGAAAAAGCGGCAAGGTCGATAAAAAAGTTCATATTATAATGTAAACTTTCTCAAAACTGATTCTTAGCAACCCCCTCAAGGAAAACTTGATTATTCTATAGCATGAGAAAAAAAAAAAAAATTAAAAACATGACAAATAGAAGCTTGACCATCAGAACAATGCTAATCATCCTATTAGGTATACAATCCCGATTAGATGAGCATAACCCTTGACATCCAGGAAAATGTATATATCCTGGCTTGTAATGATCTTTGGACCAGTATTTGAGTCTCTTGGGCAAACCCTCATAAAGCCTGTTTGAAGCAAGGTTCAAAATATTGATACGCCCGATACGCCGGTATGGGCATATCGGGCGAATCAATATTATTTTCTTTTTTAGTTTTTTTTATTTTTTTTTCTGAAACCGGTTCAGAGGGGCTGGTTTAGGTCTCCTCCATCCCCTGAACCGGTCAGACCCCCGATACAGCCACTATAGGGGTGTATCGGTGGGGTCTCGAAACGATACGTATCGGCCGATATGGACCGATACTTTGAACCTTGGTTTGAAGTTTGAACTACCCATCTGCAAAAATATCAATTTGTTATAACAATGGAAGATCATACAGAACATAAGATTAAAAAAAGGATTACCATTAGGCCGATCGTTCCCTTCAAGAAGTGTCTCACCAGATTCTGGCCACACCTCATGCTTGGACCCATCAATGGAGACAAAAGAAACAAAAACTTCCGTAGGGTGYAGGAGAGTGAACATTGGATGTACTCGCAAGCAAACCAACCTACAATATGAAAAATTTATATTTTTCTGATCAGTAATCTTCTATCAGAATGAAAAACAAGGATAAGCATGGTTTGGCTACTGGGGCTACTCCTATAGTCATTTGTAGGAACATTGGAATAAAATGAGAGAAAGTGGACTTAGATGGTTTGGCCACATGCATGGAAGACCATGAACAACACCCATAAGAAGTAAACCATTTCAAGTTGAAGGGGCTAGAAGGACTAGGGGTAGACCGAAAAGGACTTGGGTAGTAGCCATCTCCATATAGTTGGGGTAAAGCTTGGAAGATGAAGATAATGATACTCTAGCTTTCTCAGCAGCTCTGAGCATAATCATGCCCTTAAAGAAAAGCAACTAAAAGTCAGACAAACAAGGTTTGAATTCATAATCAGGATAAATGTCAAAAATTAGGGTTACAAACAAGGCTTGGTCATAAAATTTTTTGATCCCTACCTTCTCCATTCACTTTCAACCCTTGTTAAAACTTTATTACTCTAAAGAGAAAACAAAATGTCAAAGACACATTCCCAATTTCTAGAAAAAGAACAAGTAACATGCATGATGCACTATAAATTAGATGCAGAAACTAGAACCAGAAACATCTTTCTGTTGGACCAATGTCAAATGTGCAAATCATCTACTGCCTGGACTCTTTCTTCTGTAGATGACTACACTCTGGAATGGTATGGGATTGGATTCTTCAAGAACCTCCATTGCATTACTAGCTGGTAACAAGAAATGGCTATCTTGAATATGTTTCACTTAACTAAATTACCTTACTGAGAAAAACAAAATATTCAACACATGCCCAGGTGAACTAGATTCTAACAAAGAATTGATTCATTTTCATCCCAACTCAATGGAGAAGCTAACCAGAAGATCTTGCAAATAGGTCAGGCCAACATAGAGAATTTTAGTCATCAAAAGATTTGTTCACTGCATTCAAAGACCATATAGCTTGTTTTAACTAAGCCATGCTTTTCGGGCCACAAAAGTTTCTTCAAGAAGTAAAATCATTTCATTTTGAGTAATCAATTACAGTCTCAGAAGTGATTTCCAACAAAATTAGATGAGAAAGACCTTGAAAATCCACCAGAACCAGCACCAACTTTTCGGGCCACAATTCCAGAGTCAATTCGAAGAACCATAGGTATATCTTTTGGAATAGATATATGACGTTCAAGAACTAAACCACCACCAACATCTCCTTCTAAGATAAGGGATTCCTCTTCTCCTGCATGTTCAAGATTCCGCCTGCAACAATAGAAGATTCCACAGGATTAGCAAGAGTAAAAATCAGAAACATAAACAAACAGGCAAATAAAATTCTACCACTTCTCACATTTCCCTTTAGTGGAGAAGTTCTGAGAAAATAGTGGCTCGATTTATTGCATAGTGGCTTCTTAAGAAAGATAAAGCCGATGCATGCAGCTAGTATGCATAAATTGTTAATCAGACGCAATGGTTACAGAAAATTCATTCATTATAATTTATTAATCAAATTACAGTAGGGAGATTATTTAAAAAACAAATGGTTAGCAAATTCAGATTTAGTGATTCAGTTGTGTAGCAATTTGAAATGTATTGACAGGTGTATTTAGTAGTATTTATTATTGGTAATATACATGCAGGTATAGTATTAAGGGTATTTATGTTTATGTACCTCTATTTTCTCATAAAAAATAAAAGCATAGACGATGTGTTCAGCACTCACTGAATGACAGTGTATTCCTCAGAACATCCAGCAGACCGGTATTCTACACCACTATATTCTTCATACCCATTGATGTCAACCCTGCTGTGAAGCCATTGTGTCCCTGGCATGACAAAAGAATCAACTCATTAGGTGTGTTTGATGGTACATAAACACAACACAATATCATATATACCTTTACTTCCTTCTTGATTGATATATGGAAGATGCCTTTTCATTTAGTATAAGAAAATTTTAACCTCTTTGTTTAAAACACAAAGCTAGAATGATTAGTCCATCAATAAATGCTTTTCTGAGAAAAGAAAATTCTCTTCATTGTTTATTGGGGAAAAACTTCAACTGTCATCTTTCCAGCAACCAGTATACTATAACTTAGTAGTGGTGTACAGAATATAGAGGATCATAAGGAACTTCCTGTTGACCCTGGGGAAACAAACAGAAATCCTCTAGTTAAATCATTTTAAACTTCTTTTTGTTTACACAAGGCTAGATTGATCAGTCCAATGTACACTTATCTGATAAGAAAATTTTCTTATTGTTTATTGGGGAATTTTTTTTAACTGGCACCTTTTCAGCAACCAATATGCTATAAGATATTGATGGCGAACAAAATAGAGAGGACCAGGAACCTCTTATTGCTTGAAATATGGTGAACAGAAATCCTCCAGTGAATTGGAATATAGTCGGTATCATCATCATCTAAGCCTTAATCCTAACTATATGGGGTTGGCTATATGAATCTTGTTTAGCTATTCTGTTCTGTTTAGTGTCATATTAAATTATGAGTGCTTAAATCATTTCTTTTCAATCCATGTCCTTTTTGGTCTGTCTCTAGCCCTTTTAGACCCTTCAACTTATGGATTTTCTTGGAGAAGAAAATCCAAAGTCTACTATATTAAGAATAGACAGATATATAGGAAAAGTTGAACCGTTGCATTAAAGCAGAAGATCAAAGATGAACAGAACAGAATGGCAAAACAGGATTCATGTAGCCACACTGACCCAACCCTATTAGGTTAGGCCTGTTAGGGTCAGGTCAGCCATAATTGGGTTTCAGGTTTGGATTGCGGTGAACCCATGCTGAACCCAACCCATTAACATTGCAGCATTAGAACATATACCTTGGTTGAATATAGTGTACTATATATGAGACAGGGCGGGGTAGGGCAGGTTCAGTACCCTTCCTCACCAGGTTGAGACTTGAGATGGGTAGGAGTTGTTTCGGACTGAGACAAAACCCTGTACTGGATCAAGAATGTTGATGAGATAACACGTGATCATGGGTTACTTTACTTCCATCCTAATATTTGTAACCTACTTAATGTAGTTGTTGGTATAGATTTACAAGTTAAAATTGACTATAAAGGTATATGTGATTATTATCATTGTTAACAATTGTTTATTAGATATTGAGTGGGTCCACTACATTTTTTATAGTTGGTAGTATGGATTCAATTTAAAAAATAAAATTCTTATAAAATCATAATTTTAAACTATATCACATGTGGGTCCATTATAATTAAATCAAATTGTGTAGTCCCATGGGACCCACCAATGTAGTTTTGGAACTAAGTAACATGAACCAAATGCATTATCATCATCCAAGAGTCAACCACATGAATCCTGTTTCACCACTCATTTTGTTTAGTGTCGTATCAATTGTTAAATTGTTAGCACTTAAATAATTTCTTAGTACTTCAACCCATGTCCTTTTTGGTCTGCCCCTAGCCCTTTATAGCCCCTTCAACTTGCAGTATATCACTTCTTACAGGTGTGTAAGACAGTCTTTTATGCATGTGACTAAACAACATGAACCTAATACATTTCTCAAAAATACTTCCATTTCTATTACGGAATTTACGTTTCTTGTTAAATTGAACCAAACGACACTTTCCATTTTTTCCAAACTATTTTCTTCCCTCCCATTTCTAGCAATACATGGTAATGGCATGGCAGAATTTGACAGCAAACCGCACATGACCTTAGGGTACAATAATTGATAGGGGGCCCTAAACCGCAAAATTTCGGTCAGAATGAGGTTAATCAACTAGGCTGAAGTGAGAAGTGCATCTCCCCAAAACTTTTTTGGTATGTTCATCTAAAGAATCAAACTACAAGCTACCTCCAATAGATGTTGTTCTTTCTTTCAGTAACACAACTTTGTTGTGGTGTCATGGGACAAAAATTCTGGTATAAAGTGCCACTTTTCACAAAAAAAATATTGAGTCAAATATCTAGTAAAATATTCTCAAATTGTCTAATTGGGAAATTTGAATTATCCATAAAAAATGAATCTCCACACAAAATTGTGTGAGAACAATTTGATGAAAATGTTGTATCATTTTTAGAACTTCTCTGGATACCTAACTGSCCCATATAAATTTGATTGCACCCAAGTGAAACCATCCCTTACATTCTTGAATTTTATAGACACTAGGAATTGACCAATTACCTCTTCTATAGATTCCAAATCTTCATTTCTCAACATTGTAAGTAAGTCACCGGAAGCTCCCCAAGACGGCACCACCACCCAACTTATCCCTCTAGAACTCCACACACTTCTGACCCACCTCCTATCTATATCCGCCACTTTTGTTTCCTGCAACATCACTATATCTGGCTTTTCCTTTTGAAGCAAGTCTTTAATAACCCTTCTCTTCCTAGCGCTCCCCAACCTTCTTACATTCTAACTTATTATTTTCATTTACCACTCTTTTATAACCCCCAAAACTTTTCCTTCCGCTAATTCTGCCCTTTCCTTCTTTCCCCTCTTGCACTAAACTTAATGTCACCTTCTACATCAGATCTCACCCTCTTACTCTGCTACCAATCTCTCTCTTACCTTCTACCTTCCTCCCTCATACTCGCTACCATCTCGTTCACCCACCTCCCCAGGATCATAAATTAAATCTTCAACATAGCCTTCTTGGATCTCAAGTTCATCTAGAAATTCAAACACCAACATAGCCTTCTTTCCTTTCTCCATGCAATCCACCCCCTTCACACTATCCTTCCCTTTTTCTTTCCCTTCTCTCAACTTCCCTTTTGGCTCTACTTCAGGCAATGGTTGGCAATCTGGGGTATTTGCAATCACAGGGAGAGCATCATTATCCTTAACCGAATTGACGATTTTACCTGTAGAGATAGGTTTCTCAACAGAGAAGGGGACAAGACCCTCTGGACTGGAAGGCAATCACCGTAGATCAGTTTCGGCTGGAGAGGACTGCAAACAGGCTTTGCCGGTAATACCCAATGGACGCTGATCAAAGACGTCTACTAGAGTACCTTCGTTTTGCCCGGAGAAAGACTATTAACTCCCCCTTGGATATCCTACACTAGTTTTTTTTTTTATCAATAACAGAAACTTTTATTAAGAGGAATAGAAGAGAGAAAGATACAACAAGGGAGGGGTAAAATCTCTTAACCCTCCCTAAAAGTAGAGATCAAATTACAACAATGCCCAAAAGAAATTAGCTCTTCCCACCCCTTGTTTGGCCAAAGAGTCTACCAAAGAATTAGCACTCCTCTTGGACCACTGAACCTGAATTTGCATGTTTTGAGTTAGCTGGTTAATTTTCTTTTATTTTTTTCATTTGAGAACTTCCACAGACTGAAATCTTCCTTCTGCAGGCAACTAACAGCCAGCCTAGAGTCACCTTCCACCAGCAGTTTTCTAATATTCAGCTGCTGGGCTCTTTTAATCCCTTCCAGAACTGCCAAAATTTCAGCTCTCAAAGAATCCCCCCAACCTATAGGGCCTGAAAACATGGCATAATTCAACCTTCTTCATCCCTGAACACTCCACCTATACCTGAAGGACCTGGGTTTCCTTTGCTTCTGCCATCAAAGTTCAATTTAGTGAACCCCAAAGTTTGAGGAGTCCAAGCTGGAATAGGGGAAGTATTCGAGGGAGCAGACCAAAACACTTCTTTCCAATTTCTAATGATATCTCCTGCTGAATAACCTTCAAAGAGCTTCATAGTCTTGACCCAATGTACCACCCTAACATAGACTAATTCAATGATGGCTTCCTTGTTTTTTTTTTCTTTTTCATGGGAGGTTCTTTGATTTCTTTCCTCCCACACTGTCCAGCATACAGCTGCTCTTACACATCTCCTACACTAGTTGACCCTCTAAGTTCGGACTTGGACTTATTGGCCTTAGGTTTTGCTCCCTACCAATGGAACTCTCTTCTCCCCTTCGAACTACTAGTTTAGCTCCAAAGTTTTAAGTAATAGGCGTGAGAGACACTACTGCAACAACTTCCTCCTCTAAAAACAGTTGTTCTGTATTAAAGCTCTCTATTTCTTGTTGTAAAGAACTCTTCCCCAAAGAGACACTGCCAATACTTGAAGTTTCAGTTTCGTCGGAATCACTTTCCTGCTCACTAAAAAAACCTTCCTTCTCCAGCTGGTCTTCCACCTTTTCCAGCATCGATCTTTTACTCCTAGGGCTCCGGCGCTCTGGCAACATACGGTCAGCCCTGGACAGTTGCACCACTGTAGGATATACTCGAACTCCTGTTCTGCCCCTGAAATTTGGAACAGGTAGGACCTCTCGAGTCTCGATGGGGACAATGATGGATCTAATTAGCCATCTATCGTCGCCCCTGTTAAGACCCCCACGTGACTTTTAATGAAGTCACATGACCCAGTCTTCTCTTCTAAGAGGTCCAGCCATTTCGTTGGCCCACCCCATTCCTTCTTTTGACTTGGATAAACCAAGGCCCACTCCTTCGCTGGTCTCTTGGGCCCTATTCCTCTTTTCCACAGGCCCACTTTGACCTGCTAGCCCAGAATGGTTTGTTCTCCCCTGGAAAGTCTCCATTTGGCCATTTAATCGTGCCCCTTCCTCGCTAGTGCCCACATGTTCTTTCATTTTAAATTCTGAACCATCAAGTTCCACCTGTCTTGATCTATTGACAGGGGCCTGATTTCCTCCTTTTTCTTATCAAACTTCCCCTTTAAGGTAACCGTCTGTGTATATCCAAATACCTTGTTGCTTTTCTTTCAATGTTTCCTTCTCAAGGATTTCCTTGTAAGTTTCTGAGGAGTCAGAGCTAGCCTTTCCCAGTTTGCCATGTAGCCAGTCTCTTTCTACCCC